GAAGAATATTTATGGATTGATAATTGTACTAATTTCTACAAAATTTTATCTATAATTGGTGTGCATTTCTAATCTCCATATACCTTTATATATAGATATTATATAATTACATCAATAACATGTTATACACCATAATTACCAAATGGATCTTATACTATATCATCTAATTAATCACGCATTTTAATTAAAATTAAGTTGCATTTCTCTTGATTATTTTTTAATTTAGTAATGAGATCCTTCAAAACACAAAGTCCAAATTGATGATTGACAACTTAAATGAATCTCTCCATTAATTTGCAAAATATCAAATTTAAACGATCTTCTGAGAATCTAGCAATGATCTTTTTTATTAAATGTGTTCCTTGACTATCTAAAGTGAGATAAATGATATGATTTTTAATGCTATTTTCAACCATTTCTTCTTCTTATTTAGATGATATCAAAGAAACCAAAGATTAAATAGCATGAGTACCCTTTTTATCACATGCAATATCCACTAAATGATTAGAAATCTAAAAAATATATATTAATAAAATGTTACTGTTTGTAAAATATATAATCTTTAATGAGGAGCACAACTTTAACTCAAACTACCAAACATATAATTGGCATAAGGATCAATCATTAAATCTCCTATATGTGGACCTATTTCTTGTAATAATTGATCTAATTCTATTTGTGTACAAGTAGTAAAATGTTTCTATATAAGACGACTGCCATGTTATGTCTTAACAAAATTGACTATATTGCCACGTATTTATTCAAAACTTTACAAATCTTCTGTCCATTCATCTGGTTGTGTTTATTCTTCCAATTGGAATGATTAAAAACGAACTCTTTGTTATGTAGGACCAATTTGAGGTGTAAAATTACGTGTTTTAGGTGAAAATAGAAATGAATCAACTACAGGACAGGATTTAGGTGATTATTTAGTTAAATATTTTGCAATGTCTGGAGACAAGTTGATTTGTAGTGATTTTAAACACAATAATGGTTGATTATTTTCATTTTCTCTTTACATTGATATGCATATGTCATCATATCCAATACAAATATAATCACTTGAAACTTTGCTTGCATTATAGTAGAATTCATAATTATGAACATTTTTTTATTCTTGCATTAGATTATTATCCATTATGTGAACATCAATCTGAATACGACCTTGCATTAATGGTACATGGTGTTTTTATCTTATTCCAAAGTACTCTCTGATATTAGCATAATCTATCAAAATGGAAGTATTTTTCTTCTATTTGAGAGTTGTGGAATGAGTTAGATTGAGGTAGGGTTATTGTGCAATAGTGTGATATACTCTGAATTCAACAAAAACTTTGACATTTAGATCCAATAGGTCATAGTCTACTGGCACTCGTTCCATTATTTTCGCATGCTAGATTTAATCTGTTAAAAGAGCAAGTTAAGCTGTTTTATGTTTACAAGTGAGGGCACATTAAGTATGGACATCAAAGTACTGGGAAAGTAGATTGGAGTACAATTGAGTATGACCTTATTGAACATTTTGATAACAAAGTGGGCAGATTGAATTTTCATTTTGGCTCTTTCCTATTATCTCGTAATCCTCGTCCACTACTAAAAACATACACACAACTCAACTACTTAAGGATTCTTCTAATGTGCTACTACACTTTCGGGAGTCTTACTCACTATAACAATCATTTAAACACTTACTTGGTATATTTAGAGAAGATTTCTTTGAATTCATTCGGAACAGGGTCATCCCATCCGAATAATGGGTAGATGTCTTCAGTCATATTATAAACTTCTTGTATTTTAAAATAATAAATTCCTGAGGAAAGATTGTAAAATTTAATTGGACCATTTTCTTAATGCGTCATATGAGATATTAAATTGCTCTAATTATATTTATAGAATATCTTAATTATTAAATAATTGATACTTCATAAGCAATTCAATTAACTATTCAATTCAGAATTTATAAACTATTTCAAACAAAGGTTTACAATTAATTAATACTTTATATAAAGTGTAGTGTAATTTATTTATTTTGATTAAATTATTTTAATATATATATATAATTAAGTTGTTGAAGTTTATGCAAAAATTAGAAAGCTTAATATCAAACTTTTTTAAAAGAATCAAAATAAATTAGTAGAGGGTTAATCAAAAGAGCAGAATTTTAATGTATAATCAAAAAGTTACACTAGATTACTATTCAATCATCATAAAGAAGGTTGACAAAAGTTGAATCTGAAAATATTGATAACATAGAACTAAATTACAAAAAATATTTAATTCTTACTTAAGAATAAGAATTATTAAATGAATAACTAATAATTCTAGTTTTAAGAAAATAAGACATTACTTAATAATATGGGAAATTAGAAAGAAATTCATTCTAAAATACAATAAAAGAATGGACAATTCTTTGAATTTTAGTTGATAAAAACAATTTCAATCTAATAAAAATTACATAACTAAATGATTTTTAAAGATAAAGAAATTCATCATAATAAAATAGTATTAACTGAAATTGCATCAAGAATATTTATATATAAAATCTAAATCAATTTAAATCTGTGGACATAAAAAATATATACTATCAGACTCATATCTTTATCAAAAAGAATATTAACTTAATGAACTAAAAGAACATTTAATTTTAATAAACAAAAAAAAAAAAACCTAAAAATAATTCTTAGCAACAAACCAATGAATCTGATAGTAAAGAATATGTTTAGAAAATAATTTAAAACAAGGAGCTTCATGGAAAATTCATATTAAACTAAGAGGATAATAATGATGAAGTTGAGTTCTTAATTGGTTAAATGTAATGAATATGATTTAAGAGTGATATTATTTTTTAATATTTTCTATTATAAATGTATTAAAAAATATCTACATTCATTAAATCTTGGACATTATTAATAATTTAATCATATTCTATTAAAATATGTAATAGAACTAGTATTTTTTATTTTTTATTTAATTACTATTTTTGTTTGTTATTAGAACAAGTATTTAATGTTTACAAGTTCAGTTTACAATGGGTCATATAGTCGTATACCAAACGGAGGAGAGCAAAACTAGATGAAAGTTAGTTCAGATTAAGTCATATTTATAGCAAATTTTAATAGACATTTGATGAATAGCATCAAGACAAGCTTAATATTTCATTAAGCTTTATTGGTAGTTACTTCAAATATAGATAATGAGAAGATAAGTTGTGATAAGAAATATCATCTTGTTGAATATGGGAATGATAGTATAGTTAAGGGTTATTAAATTAATATAAGAATAATAAATAATCCAAAGTACTTGAAAGAATTGACTAAATTTGAAGATGAATAATATGAATGGGAAAAAATGTCTATAAAGTAATAGTTTGATATTGATACATTAAATATCACTGTAAATAATATTATGTAGAAAATGTAAGATGTTGCAAATTAAAATGGATTATATAATATTTGGTTAAATAATTGTTAATCTGTAGCAAATTAATTAACTGAATAATTATTGCTAGAAAACATTTCAAAAAAAAATCTCATATTTCTAGCATTGGTTGAAAAACAAGATGGTGATCATAAAGAAAGTGAATCATCACCTCATTCAGCCTTGTTTGTCGCTACCTAGAATTTTAATTATGGTTCATATCGATCAAATTTTTTATGTTACATTGTTGAATATCTAAATGATGGTAAAGTTCATGCATATCAATTTTATCCTAAAAATTAAACAAATAACTTGATCAATTTGAATTAATTTGATAATGGAAAAAGTTATTGGGAAACTAAGACAAAAATTCATGATTTTTATATTAAGTAAACAGTATAAAACATTATTGATACAATGAAATAACAGATAAGATTTTTTTAGAATAATAGCACTAGTGTAGCAAAAGATGCCTTTGATAAAATAAATAAAATATAAGAAGATGAAAAATAAAGATTAGAGGAGGAGAGAAGAATGAGGAATGTATGTGAACAAATTAAAAAAGTTTTAATTGTTATAGCGGTTCTTTTTATTATTTATAAGATTTTCTCTTGGCTTGAACATCATATTTCATTTCAATGATATTATTCAATTATTATAGAATTGTTATCTATTTTTTTAATATTTACCCACCATTGAAATTATTTCTAATAAACTCTAAATAAAATAATTTTTTATTAGTTACATTTTAATTTTTATCACTAATCTTCCTTTTATAAAGATATAAAAACTATCTTTGAAAATTAAGATAAGAATAATATTATGTGATCATGATTTTATATAATGTTAGTAAAAAAAATTACGAATTTGCTATTCCAATTTGGATTCCAATAAAGATCAGTTAAAATATATCAGCAAATAGATTTTATATATCAACAATATTTTGTCTAAATTTAAATTTGATGTTTGAAAATAAAAATTAGAATGATTTTATTCTTATTAAAGTTGAAATTTATAAATGATTTAACATATAATTTCATTATAAGGTTAACATACTTAATATAGAATCTGATAATTTTAAAAGGTAAATATGAATGTTTAAATACACATAAAAATCTAAGGAAATAGTAATATAAAATTGTCTTGAAATTTAGCAAATATCCTTGCTTTTATATTGGGATTTAAAAAAAGAAAAAAAAATAATAATGATAATAATGAGGATTAACTTATTTCTGGAAGAAACACTAAACCCTACAATCTATATTCATTAGATAAAATATATAGTAGTAGTCGATTTGAATTTAAGTGTAAGGGCTCTATATTAAGAGATCAAATATGATTCTAATAGTGAGGTATGAAAAAATATTATAAATTTAAAGCTTATCACTTGTAATTTAGGCTAATGGAAATTATCATATTTAAGCAGGTTTGTAAATGACTTAGCTAACTTAGTTAATTAGATGGATCAGTATTTAATAAAGATATTAATTCTTTATGCATAATATTATCTAATTTTTATATTTTGATTTAAATTAATTATTAATAAAAAAAAGTATATAATAATTATAAATTATATAAATTATTCAACTAATGAATTTGTAATATAAAATAAGTATATTTCCTATGGTTAATATGCAAATTAAGGAGAGGAGGATTCCTTTATTATAGGATTGACGATTTTTAATCATAGTGGCATGTCTTTAAGTCATTTTGACTCCAACTTGGATTTCTTTAGTCTATTTTGGTTGAGAATGATAAATAATACATCTTCAAGGGCTTTGAGCAATTTTTCTTTTTGATTTCGTATATTATCTAAAATAGTTAATTAGGTATCTTCAGCTTCTAATAAACGAGAATCTAGAGTGTCTAACTATTTAACTTAGGCATATAGATCAGAATTAAGTCCTTTGATTGGAGAAGGAGTTTATTTTTTACTATTGCTACTAACATTTGATAAAGGCATTTAATCAAGATTAGATTGTAAATCTCTAAGTTTCTTTTGGCATTCTACAAAAATGAGTTTGTTGGATTTCATATTCTAAGCAAAGTCTTTTTGATGAAGATCTGTAAATGATCCAAATTCAATTTCCATGAATTTGAACTTTAATATATATTCAATTAGATTACTTATTGTTCAGCTTAAACAAAAACAAGTTTCATCTTCTCAAAAACTAAGTGTTTGCTTTAAGTAAGTGCATATTATTTATAAAGATCATTGAATTCATCTATTTTTTTTTTGAAGTTGTTTTCATTTTGTTAAAACATGGTTGTTGCCATTTTAATTAATTTTAAACTCAAAAATAATTAATAATATTTTTGAATAGTTTTGATATTTCTAAGGAATATGTTTTATATGTTTAAGTGTATATATATTATAATTTATATATAATATAAATTAATTAATGGATCAATTAGATTAGAAATAGTTAGAATAGCTTAAATAATAATAAGCATAGAAGGAATAAATGGAAGAAATCAAAAAGTCTATTCTGACTCAGATATTGACACCTGAAGCTAAACAAAGATGTATTTATATTAAATGTTTAATTTATAGTGGCAAATATCAAATTGGTTAAACCAGAAAAGGCAGAGTTGATTGAAGTCTAACTTTGTTAATGGGCCAAATAGGGGAAGATAACAAATTAACTTTCTGAAGATGAATTGATCAAATTACTAGAAGCAGCAGAAGGATAGAAAAAACAAGAAACAAAAGTTACTGTAATTTTACAGTCTAAATTACATAGTTTTAAAGAAGAAAATTATCCAGTGATGATGATGATGACATTTGATATGTGTTAAAATTATAAATAAACAAATAAACAAAAACTCAAGTTGATAACTTATTAAATCATCAAATTAAATTAAGCAGCTGAAACCATTCTAATGAGTCTTATCCAAAATCCTCTCTAATATTATAATAATTCTTCTTTCCTCATCTTTTTCATATGATCATAAATTTAACATATGCTCTTCATGCTCCCTAAAAGACATTAATTTATATTCTTCCCATGTATTGTATCAATTGAATATTTAAATTCAATTGAATTAATTATTTAAATCGACGCAATTTCTATTATTATGCCAATTTCATCAAGATCTGATCAGACTTTATTGGTACGAAATCTTTTAATTGATTATGAACAAGAAAATCAATTCTTAAGTATGATGTAGTTTAACTAGAGGATAGAAAGAATCCCTAATACACGGCTGAATAACCTTATTTTCTGAGAGTTTTCTTAGACAATCAAAATGACACACCAAGCCTTATGAAGTGACTCATATCTACAGAAAAATTAAACACGTATGACTTCAAGAGGGTATTGTATTAATTAATTGAGTAGGCTTATTCAAAATGCTACCTTCAATTTATTTGACAAATGTCAAGAATACTACATTATTGATGATAGCATCTTTAAATTTTCATTTTGTCAATATTCTTAATCATAATATCTTAAATAGTAAGGTTTATTGCAGCATTTTGAATAGTCTTATTCACATTCAATCCATTACTTCTCCTAAATGAATATTAACCTTAAGTTTTTATAAATGTATTTTATTCCTGATCAAGTTGAATCAATTATATCTTCTCATATTAGAATGGGACTCATTTACAATATCAATTTAACTCTTTATGATGGAGCTTTTCTTTTATTTTTAGTATACACAACCAAATATTTCTAAAATGCTATTCTTGATTTTAGGATAATATATTTTATAATTAAATAATAACAAATATTGAAATATTATATTACATTAATCTTCAAGATTTTCTGGAGATACGAAGAGTTTTTTACCTCTTAAGACTAACACGAAGACGAGATGACCTTTCATTACCAATCTAAATACTATCCTCATCCTAAAAGATGAATGAACTCTATTCAATAATTGCAGATACAAATCTCTCAACATCAGAATGGATAAAAAATTGATTCTTGAGTTGCATTGCATATATGTCATTACTTAATTTAAATATTCTCTATCTCAGAGTCAACATATCCACTGTTTCCCTGGCAAATTTTAATTGCAACTTTGCAGTTTTCATTTCCTACCTATATTTCATGATTTCTCTCTATTCTTTAATATGGGATCGATATCTATCTCTCATCAATAAAGTAATGAATAGATTCTAAAAATATATTTAGTATCCTTTCTCATACAGAATTCTAACCCAAGTAATAAATCTTTTATCAGTTTTATACAAAGATGAATATTAGTGGATCTTCATTGTATATTAATCCCATTTCTAAATCATTCTTGCTTTGTATTCTCTCACATTCTTTACAAATTAATTTAAATTGACTCTAATCAATTATAATTTCCCACTTGTAATTAGAGCCTTCTTCTTAAACATATATAAATTGGCTCGTTATTTCAATAGTGGTAAAACAAGAATTAATGAATTATTAATGATCCTCCTCTTTGATTACCTACAGAACATTTTCAGAGCCATCATTGTTTATCCTATTGTTCGATAATTAAGATTCTCTCTATTCAATTTGTGATCTTCTCTAAACTTTCTAATTCTTAATTGAATACTAATGATCATTAGTTTATTTTTCTTTAATTACTTCCTTCTTTATTGCAACATGTAATATAATTTATCTACACACTTTATATAATGAAGTAATTCACACCAAAGGAATGTCTATTCTGTCCTTCTTTCTCTTTTCCTTAAAGTTAATGTTATCAGTTTATATTCATCATGAGCCCATTCTTTAGCTTTAAAATCAAGATTTTTTTATTGATTTGCTTCAACTATTGCTTTCTTTTGTAAATTTCTTGTCTTGAGCACTTGTAGGAAACGATCAGATCGACTTACTTCCATTTCATACTTATTTACTTTCTTAAATGCCTGTATCTTATTCTGATTAACAATAAATTAAGGTATTTTTTGAATTTCTTCATTTTTCTGTACTCTCTCATGATTACTTGATATTCTTATCATCTTTTTAAAAGAGTCTGTCTATCCATAATATATCATAAATTTTATATCTGTTTATTTACGAGCCACAAATGCTAAATTAAGTTTCTCTTCTCCATTATGTCTAACAGTCCATGTTCTATTTCTAATTACTTAATCGCAATTAAATTTAGTTGGAAATGGAGAATTAAAAGATATCATTATATGGAATTCCCCATCGCAATACACTGTACAATTCAAAGGAGATTTGTAACCTTTAGTGGGAATATTGCAATAATAGAATTCCATAGGAGTCACTTTATATACCTTCCCAGATATAAGTGTTCCACTTAGTTAACAATCTTAATGTAAATTGGGTTCAGTCAATGTTTACTTCAATGTATAACGAAGGCTTTTCAATTATTCCACATTCTCAAGCATCATCCACGATCGTTAGAACTTCTCTGTTGTCTCCTCCAATATACGAGATTAATCAAAAACACCAGAACCACTTGTTTATGATCTGAAGTGTGAAATAGATGGAGAGTTAAGCTGATTGACTGGACTAATAATTGATTACTTCATTATAAAATTATTATATATTTTTGACAAATTTTAAGTAGTTTCTAATTATTACATTTAACAAACATAATCACTCTATGATGAATTGGTCAATATTTATATCAATTATTTTTTTATTAATTATATACTAATAATATTAACATAATCGCATAATAGAAAATGATCAAAATTAAATTCAATAGATATTTCAATTCAGATATTTTTATATGTGATATCGATTATGCAAAATGATCATCATTTGAATTACACCCTCAGCACTCTTTATTATAAAATGAGTATATTGTTAATTTATAATCAAATTAAATAAAAATGCTTTAAAAACTTTTTATTATAATTAATATTATATNTCATAAATTTTATATCTGTTTATTTACGAGCCACAAATGCTAAATTAAGTTTCTCTTCTCCATTATGTCTAACAGTCCATGTTCTATTTCTAATTACTTAATCGCAATTAAATTTAGTTGGAAATGGAGAATTAAAAGATATCATTATATGGAATTCCCCATCGCAATACACTGTACAATTCAAAGGAGATTTGTAACCTTTAGTGGGAATATTGCAATAATAGAATTCCATAGGAGTCACTTTATATACCTTCCCAGATATAAGTGTTCCACTTAGTTAACAATCTTAATGTAAATTGGGTTCAGTCAATGTTTACTTCAATGTATAACGAAGGCTTTTCAATTATTCCACATTCTCAAGCATCATCCACGATCGTTAGAACTTCTCTGTTGTCTCCTCCAATATACGAGATTAATCAAAAACACCAGAACCACTTGTTTATGATCTGAAGTGTGAAATAGATGGAGAGTTAAGCTGATTGACTGGACTAATAATTGATTACTTCATTATAAAATTATTATATATTTTTGACAAATTTTAAGTAGTTTCTAATTATTACATTTAACAAACATAATCACTCTATGATGAATTGGTCAATATTTATATCAATTATTTTTTTATTAATTATATACTAATAATATTAACATAATCGCATAATAGAAAATGATCAAAATTAAATTCAATAGATATTTCAATTCAGATATTTTTATATGTGATATCGATTATGCAAAATGATCATCATTTGAATTACACCCTCAGCACTCTTTATTATAAAATGAGTATATTGTTAATTTATAATCAAATTAAATAAAAATGCTTTAAAAACTTTTTATTATAATTAATATTATATATAATTATTAATAATAAACTAATTGTTTAGGCATTAAAGAAATAGATCATTATAAAATAATAAATTCATAAGGATAAATTAATTTATTTTAAAAAGTAAATAGTCTCCTATAGAAGACTATTATTTATTAATCTTGAAATTTACCAAATATATATCATAATTCAATTTCTGATTAAATATATCCTTAATTCCTAATCTTTTATTGAACTTTAATGTAAAAATAAAATAAAAGCAAAGCAATAATTGTAATTAGAGCATATATCCACCTTTTACTAACTTTGTCTAATTAAGGAGGATAGAAGAAAATGTTATAAATACCATTTGAAAATTCATTATCACAAAATATAGTAACATTAGTTTCATATTTTGTGTGGCTATTCAAAATACATGTTACATTCCAAGTACTTAATGAATAATTAAATATTATTTAGTTAGAAATATAAAGGGATGTTCCATTTTGATATTATAAATTTACAATCATTGCATAATTGACATTTGTAGTATTGAATGAACCTTACATCAAAATTGGTTCCAATATATCTTCATTTAAGAGATTATTCAAATAATTATTATTATTTAAATAATAAACTCCAACAATGTTTACTGTGTTAGAATAAAATTATTGCATCAAAACACCATTTTTATAAAAAGAATGGCCAGTATTTGTTAAATTACCATAATTTGGAATAGTTCCAATAATTACATTATAAGATTCATTTTAATGAAATCTACTTTCAACTATTTCACTTATAGTCTGATTATTAAAATTACTCAATAAAAAAATTGCTCTATTTTTGTATGCTTACATAATTAAAACAAACGAAGGAAGTATTTCAGGAAAATTATTTTAGTTTTAGAAATGAGAAGATTTTACAAATTAACTATTTTGGATATGGATTAAGTTATTTTTAATTGATACTTATTTTAATAAAAGGGATTAAACTTTTTTACTTAATTGTATATAAAATATAATTAGTTATTAAGATATTTAAATAAGAGTATTTTTAGTAACTATTTAAGCCACCGAAAAATCTTGACATGAACTATTTGAATCAGATATCAAGTAAAAGGTATTATTATATTAGTTAAACCAATACAATTATTATGGTTATTCTATTTAATTAAAGGTACCTAATATAAATAATTAATTTAAAATGCTGCTTATTTTGAAAATCATTTAAAAAGTTTAAGGAAGTTAAGTTGTATTTATATTTACTATATTGCCTGAAATATTTAATGTAAAATTAAGTAAGTATTATGAAGTACTATTTTCACAAATTGAATATAATGAGTAAATATATGATGTTGAATTTATGCATTAACTAAAACTAAGATTTTTATAATCAAAATTAAATAGATATTTTAAATCGCTACTTAAGGTTTAAATGTAAGAGTTATTCTGTAGAGCAAAAAATTCGTTATTTATTGAAGTAATTAAGGAGTAATTCTGAATATTAGAAATGTTACTATACTAATGAAAAAATTAAGTTAAACTACAATATTTATTTAAACCTAGGGTTTTATTTAGATAACAATATCCGACTTATCTATCAAGAATTAAATTCATTGGATATGAGAAATTTTTAGAATAAGGAATAATATTATCTTTATTTAGATTTACTGGTGGATTTGTTTAATTCTAAAACACTGTGAAGTTTGAATAAAAAGTTGCAGTTTAATTAGGAGTTTGCTAAAAAGTATTGTTATTTAATGCTGAAGTTACAGTATAATTAAATGTTAATTAAGGATAACTTATTGAATTGTTAAATACATAATTGGATTATTAATAAGTTAGATTAAACTTTAGTTAATCAGAAAGAATATAGACAGTATTGTTAGTAATTATTATTGATTATGGATTGTTTAAATTAAATTACTCAGTACATTAAATAGGTGATGTGAATTTTAATTTATAATATAAACTCATATGTTATGGAAATGAAGGATTATAAACATAAACAGTATAATTGTTAAAAGTAACATAAAAAAATAAGTTATCTGATTATATTATTATATTATTATCAAAATTAACACTATATAGATTCTTTACATAATAATATTTTGGTAAATTTTACACATTCCAAACTTAGAAGCAAATATTGTTTTGATTATTACATATATATGATAATATCAATTATTAGTTTACTAAATTTATTTATTTTATTGTAAAATTGACTTAAATCAAGGATATTGGTATTGGATAACTATTTTAATCTATTGATATTATTATTACTTCATTTATATTGTTGATATATACAAAAGATGATTATGATTATGTATTCACAACTATTTATAATGGATTGAATGTAATGTTATTAAATAATTTATTTATTGACTATTAATTTAAAGTATATGTAACTGTATAATTAAATGTTAATATTTGAATTTCTTATATTGAAATTAGAATTATTATACTATTGTATGTTACTATAAAATCTGAGAATTATTATACAAAAGTATAATTTGAACTAATGATACTATTTAAATCATAGTTGTACTAAATCAAATAGATTGAATCATTAGTACTGAGACCAATTATAAGCATACTTGGATAAATACTATAGGCAACTTATAAAGAACTTGCATTTACAGGGATATTAATTGATTGTGATTGTGATGGGATTAAATAGTAAGAATAATTGTTGAAGTTAAAAAAGAAATTAAATATTTCAAGATATTAATTATGATAACCAATTAAATATTGATTGAAATTTACTACTAAAATTTATAAAAGCTAATAAGTCTAATTAATTTTACCATAATTTTATAAAGTTATTGGATTAACATTAAAATAGGATTCATTTTTATTTAAAGTATAATTTAATAATTAACCTGAATAACCAGAAAAATTAAATATTAGAGAAGAACTTTATAAAAAATGTAAATTATTAAACCCATCATTAGACATTACATAAATATTTGTATCTTACTTAGATAGTATTTAAAGATATATATTAATTAGACTAAAATTATAAGTTTAATTATAATTGGAACACATTAAATTAATGTAGGATGAATTTTCTGGAGTTTCAGAATTAGTCAAATTGATTTACATGGATGGCTGTGAAATTTAATAAACAACAATTTCTTTATTAAATTAAAATAATTCATTATCGTTATTGAAATATAATAGTTAATTACTTTGATTATTTTGATAAAAGTAAAATATTTATGTTTTTTCCTTTTAAAAAATAGCCATTTCATAAATTGATTTATAGATTATAAATTAAGCATTTTAGAGTATATTCTGAATGGACTAACAATTGTTAATTGGGCAATTATGATTTTAGAAGATTATTTATCTTTCACATCCCAATAATTCAACCACTGTAAATTCTGATTAGGTATTGAACCCTTTTTGGCATAATAAATATATTTAATCGCATTAAGAATAACTCCATAAATTATAAAAAACATTAATAGTTTTATAATTACTCATATTATTAGGGCTAAAATTATACACAAAATTAAATTAAGAATCTGAAGATATAGATAACTAAAATAACTCTTAGGAAGTAATTGCATAAATATTTGGACTTATTGTAATAGGTATATCAAAATCGATAAATTAGTTATTTAAGCTACTTAAATTTTAGAATGATGATGAAAATAGTGTAAGTATTGAATATTTCTTAAAATATTAGGCATATACAATAAATGTATTTGTTCCATTTAAAATTGATTATATTTTAGTTGAAGTAGGTATATTTGATTATATTTAATAAGCAATTATTGATTAAGAATCTATTATTTGAATTAATAAGACTTAATTGTTATAATAGCAATCCACCAAAATTTTCTAATTTTAGAACAAATCGATATTAAAACAATTATATAAAGGATCAATTAATACAGATACTCCAACTTATTGAATCATTTAATTCTTCCATTCATATATAATTATTTCATTATTATTAGATAATGTACCAAAATGTGTATTATTTGACGACATTGAAATAAATTCTATAATAATAATCTTAATAATTTACATTGTCCTTAAATTTAGTATATTTCTTCACATTAATTGATTACTTACACATTTGGAATTTAAGGATGCATTTTGCAAATTAATTAAGATTCTTATAACAAACTCTCCATATAGTATTCATAAAATTCTCCTACAGTTGGGTATAAAGAAATTTTTAGTTCTGAAACGTTATAAGAACAAATTTTGATTATATTGATTACTAAGATTAGGATCATCTATGTTATCTAAAAAATATTAATGAATTTATATATTTTGTTTATAGAATTGTTGAATATAGAAATCTTATATTTATAATGATCTTTAAAATTTCTTTAAGATTTATTATCTATGTTGATTATCCAACCAAATAGACCATGTTCATAATTAAAGTTTTTTATGCTTTTCACACTAAATGGAGAATTCGAAAAAAGTACAGAATAAATAGAAAATTAATAAGATTATGAATTTGATTATCCAATAAAGTCAATAAATAATCAGAATCCTAATTTAGCTCTACCTATTTTTGAGAAATGATAATATTATATTTGAAAAATAATGATGAATAAAATGTTATTATTTATAATTTTTATAATAAAAATAAAAGTAATAAGTATTGATGATAAAAATCATTTAAGATTAGACAATTAAATCAAAGCCTTATCCTTCTATATTTAAGCCGAATTCTTATTATGAGAGGATGTTGATTAATTTCTCATAATTTTCTATTTTATCTTAATTCCTGCAGCTATATATTTTTACTCATCCAAATCACCCAACAGGCGATTAGGATATTTGGTTGGACTGAATCGACTTTGTGGTGTCATAGCTTATGTAAATTCAATAATAGTCTTGATGATTTCAGTTGATCTTTATTCGTTGTGATTACATTACAAAACAACCTATCTCTTATGACCTAAATATCCCTTAAATATTGTATCAAAATGATATTAAGGAATTAGACTATCTTATTTTGATGCCAACAATAGCATTGGACAAGTGATATTTAAATTTAAAGGCAATTAAACCTTATTAATATGAAATTGGAACAATTTTGCAATGCATCCTGAATTATTTAGATTTTATACTTCTAATCAATTCATACAATCCTTTATTTATTATATTTGGAGTATGTAGTTTTAGTTTTATTAAATTAATCACAACATCTTCCAAAATTAAAAATGGACTATCTAAAACCAAACATTTTATATTCTCATTCTTTTAAGTATACATCAAGGCTGTAGTAGCTCCCATAGATCTTCCCCATAAAATAATATGAAAATATTTCTCTTTCAAATATCGAATTACTAATGATATGTTCTCCTCCTCTTTTAAACTTCATAATAATGACTAATTACCCAAAAGTTACAAAGTCTCCTTAAGACTATCCAGCTGCCTAAAAATCAAATGAACAAAAATCAAAATCACTTTTACATACATAGGGAGCATATTAGACTGCTTCTAACCTTGATCCATTATAGCCATGTAAATATAATATACATGATTGAGTATATTTATTGCATTTGTATAGAGAACATTGTAATCCTTATAATTAGAAATCTTATCTTGGAAAACCACATTCCAAATCTGACTTATTATATACAACACGTTTAGGCTACATTATTTACCTACAATAACCATCAAACATTTTTAATTCTGTTTTTTATTAATACTTGTGTAATTATTTATTTACCTTTTATAAAATAAATATAATAATATCATTTTTTATAAATCATCTGTTAGGACCATAATTATTTTATTGTTTANAATCAGAATCCTAATTTAGCTCTACCTATTTTTGAGAAATGATAATATTATATTTGAAAAATAATGATGAATAAAATGTTATTATTTATAATTTTTATAATAAAAATAAAAGTAATAAGTATTGATGATAAAAATCATTTAAGATTAGACAATTAAATCAAAGCCTTATCCTTCTATATTTAAGCCGAATTCTTATTATGAGAGGATGTTGATTAATTTCTCATAATTTTCTATTTTATCTTAATTCCTGCAGCTATATATTTTTACTCATCCAAATCACCCAACAGGCGATTAGGATATTTGGTTGGACTGAATCGACTTTGTGGTGTCATAGCTTATGTAAATTCAATAATAGTCTTGATGATTTCAGTTGATCTTTATTCGTTGTGATTACATTACAAAACAACCTATCTCTTATGACCTAAATATCCCTTAAATATTGTATCAAAATGATATTAAGGAATTAGACTATCTTATTTTGATGCCAACAATAGCATTGGACAAGTGATATTTAAATTTAAAGGCAATTAAACCTTATTAATATGAAATTGGAACAATTTTGCAATGCATCCTGAATTATTTAGATTTTATACTTCTAATCAATTCATACAATCCTTTATTTATTATATTTGGAGTATGTAGTTTTAGTTTTATTAAATTAATCACAACATCTTCCAAAATTAAAAATGGACTATCTAAAACCAAACATTTTATATTCTCATTCTTTTAAGTATACATCAAGGCTGTAGTAGCTCCCATAGATCTTCCCCATAAAATAATATGAAAATATTTCTCTTTCAAATATCGAATTACTAATGATATGTTCTCCTCCTCTTTTAAACTTCATAATAATGACTAATTACCCAAAAGTTACAAAGTCTCCTTAAGACTATCCAGCTGCCTAAAAATCAAATGAACAAAAATCAAAATCACTTTTACATACATAGGGAGCATATTAGACTGCTTCTAACCTTGATCCATTATAGCCATGTAAATATAATATACATGATTGAGTATATTTATTGCATTTGTATAGAGAACATTGTAATCCTTATAATTAGAAATCTTATCTTGGAAAACCACATTCCAAATCTGACTTATTATATACAACACGTTTAGGCTACATTATTTACCTACAATAACCATCAAACATTTTTAATTCTGTTTTTTATTAATACTTGTGTAATTATTTATTTACCTTTTATAAAATAAATATAATAATATCATTTTTTATAAATCATCTGTTAGGACCATAATTATTTTATTGTTTAATCTAAAGCTTTACGTTTTCAATCTCTTAAATTATTGTTTTGCAATATTTTTAATCTTTTTTCATTAAGGCATTTTCATAAAATTAAATTAAATCATCAAACTAATTATCATTAAAAGCACTAAATATTATCATTCTTTCTGTCTTATTTTTGTAATCTTAAATTTTGTTTTATTCATTTTTCTACTTATTATCTTATAATGCCTTTGAGAATGCAAGTAATTAAATTAAAAACTTTAATTAAACATCCCCATTAAATATTCCACAACCCCATTTACCAGTTGATATATTTTCATTATTTGTGTAATCAAGTGCTAACGAAAACGCAATATAACTTTTAGTTAATTCTCTATTAATACAAACTTGATCAAATTACAATTACCAATTTTTATAGTATAATGCATCCATACACTAAAGTATTAATTGTGAAATATTACTAATATATGATTTTTTATAATTTTCTTATTTTAAGTTAATTTATTTACATCCTCTTTTTGTTGAGAAAATTCATTATTCTATTTAAAGGATGAATTCTAAATTAATTTAAAATAATCTTCATCTTTTTATCTAAAAGTCTATCCATATCCATCATAATCATTAAATCTAATTACATTTTTTATAAGAATAGCTTCATTATCATCCATAGGTTTCATAAATAACATGCTTATAAGCGCTTCAGGATGTGTTAACATCAGCACCTATTAAAAAAATAAATTTGAAATAATTACTTCCTCTTAAGCTATATTCAAAGTATCTAAACTTAAACCACCTACATTTTTATCAGCAAAATTTACTAAAACTGAATTTTAATAATCCTCACATCTTCCTTTATTTTTTGTAAAATAACTCAAAAGATATTATTAATCATTAAATATTTGATTATATTATCTGAATTCAGTTCTTCTAATATAAGTTACGAATTCATCTTATTCATTATTATTATTTAATAATTAGTTACGAATCATTTCAATCTTTTAATTCAAATATTATATTTTTTGAGAATGTTTATATTCTTCTTCTTAAATCTCTTTTTCAAGATCTTAAATTTACTTTAAATTTTAATTCAATTATTAATCATTATTTAATACTTAATCTTACTTTAGAAATCTGTTGTAAAAATTAATAAAATAGGAATGAATACACTTAAGTTTTTCCTATGATTATTTACATTAACTCTATTTTATTAATTCCATGTTAATTTGATAAAATCCTGATTATTACATATTTTGATTATCCTTATCAATAGCATTCGAATACATCATTAATAATAGAATAAAGACTTATTTTCTTGTAAATTATATCTATTATTCTATAAAGGATTGGTTATAATTTTTTCCTTATTCGTAATTAGATTTCTCTTTCTATATATTTTATTTTATTTCATTGTTTCTGATCTTGGTTTGAGATTACTATATAATGAACTCATTTATATAATTTATTAAGTTGACTTGATTATCTTTTATTAATTAATTTGCAATCTTATTAAATTGGACCATAAAATGTTTATCCTACATATAAATTATTTATCCTCACATTAGATATATTTGAAAAATCAAAGTACTCTTATTTATTTGCTCTAACTCTTAATTACATTCTATTTGTATTAGAATTACAAAATATTAAAATACAAATAATATTAATAGAAAAAAAAGTACAACCTTTTTGCTAAATATATATGATATTCAGAAATATCAAATAGTGTGTTAAGAATTTAGCCAAATAATTTTGGTAGTCTAAATCTATTTATATATGTACTTAGATTGTCAACTTAAATTTCAATTAAGTCAATTGTTTAATTCCTATTTGGGACCTATTGTTCTATTAAAATATCAAATGAATGAGCACTTCAAAAATGATTTTGATATTGTGTTATAAATTGGTTTTAAAAAAACCAATAAGAAATTTGAGTAAGTAAATTTTAATATTTTGTAAATGAATAGAAAGTCTTATATGATGATTTTAATGATAGAACTACATTTATTTATATGTTTTATTGTTTTTATATCAATTAGATATTTAATGTTATACAGATAGGTATTAAGTCTGATAGGAGTGATCAAAATAAAGAATTAATTTTATATAAAAAATAACTACACATTAATGTTTGAATTTAGTAATCAAAAAAAGCTATTTTAGAAATATATGAAACTATTGTTATACTTAAATGTTTATTTAATAGATAATATTAACAAATAAAATATA